GAACCAAAAACAGAGAGAGATAGAGAAATACTACTGAAGTTCCTAGTACTCTTTTTCTTTTGGGTGATAAAAACTGCCCGTGTACAAGATATCTATTCAAATGATGTAATGCAAAATAAATGAAGTACCACTAGCATTTGTAATGAAACATTCTAGATTTCATCAAAATAACTTAAGATTGACTTGAGAGATAAAAACATTAGAAGAAAGGATCAATATAAAGTACGACTTACGGCTTAGATGTTTCAGTTTCTGCAGCTTTCATTGGGTGCTCCACTTCATTTTGTCCCTGGTGCTTAATAGAACCTGAATACAAATTCCTCTTTACAGTTTACACCAAAAGAAAGCAAAAGTATGCAATTTGAATTGAGTCAGCTATGTCTTCAAAGCAACTGTTGTTCCTTTCCTTCAAAATAGTCAACCATAAGCATGCTAGAGTTAGTTTTTTTTTTTTTTTTAAAAAAAATTAGTTATACATTGTGCACAATAACAAATAGAAACTTTAGCTACACATGGGCACAACCATATATGGCAATCTTAAATCGAGTTGCTCCTTACTTAAAAAAAGTCTTTTCCTAGTGGCCCTTATCCCAAAGTAAGGCCATACTTATTTCTGTCTATGTCAACTAAAGAAGGATCTCCATGATCAACTTTGAGAACTTGATCAAAGTCAAAATACGTCGATGATTCAACTACTTAGGGTAATAGGCTTCCCCATATATCAATTAAAAGGTGTACAACATACAGCAGATGTGAAGATACATCACATAACAACAATGTAAACACAGTGTTACCTCATTGTTAACACCCCAAGAATCAGGAGCAATAGGAAGTTGAAGCTCTACGTTTTGTGTCCTATGCCTTTCATATGGTAGAAGTAACTAACATACAGAGAAATCATGAGATAATAGAATGTACAGAAAAAAAAGTAAGAGGCAGATAACGTTTTAGAACAAATTCTATTCAGAATCACTATATAAGCATAGATGCATGGAGATGAAGTTCTTTATTAAACTTAAACATCTAAGTTTGGCATTTCCAGCTGCCATCTCACAGTCATATATCCAATTGCAAAATCAAAGATGTAATGAAACCGTCTTTAAAAAAGAAGAAAAGCAGAACCACGAAAGTGAAAAGAAGCAAACACAAACTATTCAAGTGACTTTATAGGCCACAAAAGACGGGTTGTTAGTAAAAGTTTTCTAAGTTAATACTTCACAAAGCACCCACCAATTTTTTTGATAAGGTTAAATAATTTGTTAATGATTGAGGAAAATCCTGTATACAAGCCGTATACCAAGAAATAGTGAAACTATACAAAAATATGGTCCTCTACAAAAGACATTCAATCATCTATACAAGCAGGGACCTCATAGGTGCACCAAAAATGAAACTAGAGATAAAAAGACTAATCCTTACATTTACAAAATCAATTTCTATCCCTTCAAACACTCTCCCCCTCTCCTTCCATACAACCCACATGAGAGATAACATCGCAAACCACCTACCCATTAACAAGGCAACATAATTCAGGTCCCAGAAACTCACCTTATACCAAATATTAGCGGCATGGTGGACAATAGTCAAAACATGCTAAAAACTATCAAGGGAAGATAACTTCAGGTTATTACCTTCTCATAGAAGCTGCGGAATGTCCAAGAAACAGTAGTGCAAGTCCTGAGAAAGAAGATTATCAGAGCCCCAAAAAGGCATTTAGAGAAAGTCGTATAATAGTAGATAGAAGGCATTGGTATTGTCTTATATATTCAGTTGATTATATCTTGCTCATTACAACCATCAAAAGATATCTCGCTCATTACAACCCCATTCTTTATTCTAAGTTGCTCATCTAATTAGAGACATCAGACATCGACACTCATTTCAGATTGAGCAAATCTAGCATAAGGAAGCATCCCGTCAGTATCTCATAAAGTTTAGACTCCCTATTCAGAAACATTTGTAAATATTTTAGGCTTCAAGTCCCTGCGTGCTTAACTCCAGAACCAATTGCCACCACTCAGATACGTGTATAAGATCCCTGGTCCTCTATATTTGACCAAGACCTAACAGAAAGAAAGATGCAGCATTCCTTGGGTATGTTGTTTTTTTTTTTTTTTTGGTTTTCCATACGGTGTCCGGAGTCCACATTGCAGCTCCAACTAAATCCGAATAGCGCACTGCATGACCCATTCAGGGGTGGCGCTCCCAACAGAATTTTCTGCATACCCAGGGCTCGAACTCGAGACCTCTGGTTTAGGGTGAAACACTCCCACCAGTGCACCATAGCCCATGTTGGTCCTTGGGTATGTTGTTGTTTGTTGTTAATGTGGTGTATGTTTCTTAGCACTTATCACCTAAGTTGCTCGGACTCGGTGCGGGTGTCCAATACGGGTGCGGATCTAGATGTTGGATCCTTCATGATATGATTCGGGGATATGAATCCATGTAGGGATATGGGTGCGGGGATTCTAGATAAAAGGTATTTCATTAAAATAACTAAAAGAAGAGTTAGAAAACCTAAATTATGAGATATTGCGGGAGAACTTGAGGAGAATATGGAAGGAGATTAACGGAAAATGAGTGACATAGAAATTTCTAGTTAAAAGGAATTTCATTTTCTTCAATTTCACCTTAGCTTTTGTATTGACTAAAGATAATCATTAAAATTGTCCACACTTGCCCCATCTATTTTGGTCAAAGCACCCAAAATTGGTTGACCAAATTGGACACGGATCCCACACCCATGTCGTGTCGACAAAGGTGTGGCACCAAAAGTGAAGAGTCCGAGCAACTTAGCTTATAGCTTGATGTTGGAATCTATGTTGATATTTTTGCTAAAGCACTTCATGTTTTCTTCCTATTTTCAATTTTAGTAGTTATAATACTCTCCGCGCTATAAAAAGAATGCCTCTTTCCAAAGTTACCAAGTTCAAAGAAAAGAATGCCTCTTCCCTTTTTTGGCAATTCTTAATTTCAACGTGTCATAAGTAGAGTCTGAGCAACTAAGCTTATAGCTTGATGTTGGAATCTATTTGTTATTTTTACAAAAGCACTTCATGTTTTCTTTGTATTTTCAATCTTAGTAGTTTTAATACTCTCTCCTCTATAAAAAGAATGCCTCCTTCCAAAGTTACCAAGTTCAAAGAAAAGAATGCCTCTTCCCTTTTTTGGCAATTCTTAATTTCAACGTGTCACAACTCATATGACATGTTCAAGGCCACAAGATTAAGGACATTTTGGTACATTCTACGCATCTTTGGTTTATCTAAACTCAAATCTAAAATGAACCTAAAACCTAAAATTCTTATTTGAACAACTCTTTACTGTCATTGATCTATTTGAGTCATTACTAAACTAAAATAGCTTACTCAATCTGGACAATTGCTTATTCATATGCTATTATGAGTTCAAGACAAGCCGCTATGGTTAAATTGGTAGACACACTGCCGTTAGGAAGAAGTGTTAATGCATATCGGCTCGAGCCTGAGTGGCAGCATACTATCTTCTAAAAAGGATAAATAGATCTTATAATGAATTCAATTCCCGATTTCCATTTAAAATTATGTAATTAAGGGGCTCTTATTTTTAAAGTCTTTTTTATGATACTTTCAACCTTTAGCATACATTAACTCACATTTCCTTTTCGATAATTTCAATTGTAATTGTTAAAAAATCCCACATCAGAAGAGGAATGGAAAATTGGACTCCTTATATGGACTTGGACAAACCTCCCCTCATGAGCTAGCTTTTGAGGTTGAGGTTTACTCCGGTGTCATATCTTTATATGGTATTAGAGTTAGACTCATCTAGTTGTTGTTCACCGATGTTGGGTCCCCATTTATAACAGTTCACATTCTAGTTGAGGTTTGAACGTATGGGGGAATGTTAAGAAATCTCACATTGGAAGTGGGATGAGAAATTGCACTCTTTATAGGAAATGGACAAACCACCACTCTTGAGCTGGGGTTGAGTTGCGTCCAGGTGCCATATCTTTACCGTAATTACCATTCATTTGATAACCTTTTTAGTCGATGAAATCATAAAACTGTACGATTCATCAGAAAAAGGCAATAGTTACTCTTTTCTATATAACAAGATTATGTTACTCGTTGGATTTCTTCGGGACATTTCCCACTAAGCGATTTATATGAGTCATTAATTTTCCTTTCATGGAGTTTCTCCCTAATTCATATAATTCTGTATTTCGACAAAATTGTTATAATTTTAAGTAAAACAACTGGAACAAGTGCTATTTTGATCCAAGGCTACAAGATTCAAATTACTTTCTTAAAGTCTATGTCAAGTCAAAACTAGACAAACATTTGAAACAACGGGAGTAGTTATTAAGGTTTTATACAGTTCATGAACAATTGTTCTTTTACCACCTTCTGATATACTGTTCTAGCAATCAAGCAACTTATTCCTCTCACATGTTCCCAAAATATATCGTAACATTTCACATCCAAAACAACAGAAGTAAACTTCAAAATCTTGGCACATCATCATAAAACAATGACAGACAACATCTCCCTTACATAGTATATATTGGGAAAGTTGATGTTTGACGAGTAAAGGATAAATATTCATATCAAGTTGCCAGAAAAACAGAAATAACCAGGTCCAACTAAATGCTCACTTGGGGGGATTAAAGGAGTCTCCCACTTGCTGCCACAATTTGAATCCAGTTACCTACAGAGATAAAGTAGCTTAATAGTACACCATCAAAAGTACATGGGAATAACATAAAATTCATCTCACAGACTCATAGCATATTGCATCATTAATTAATCAACCTAGTAACAGAAGAAAATATACAACCACTGAGCTATATTGCTTATTTCTTAGAAATAAATTAAGAATACCCTCTCTAACAACTCGAGGTTCACACTGTGATATTTGGAAAGAGAAACATAGCCCTCCAGGGATGCTTTACACACGGTTGTGTGAACAAGATCATAGTTAATCCATAAATTATTCCTTGACTTATAGCACTCGATTGTTGACCCATTTCTTCTGATTAGCTGACATTTTGGGGAAGTGACTAATATCCTCTACAGTTCTTGGTTCAATTAAAAAAGTAAAATACAAGTGCAAAATAAAAGGCTTACCCGATCATAGCCACCTAATCTGATCACAGATCTCCATAACCTAGCACGAAGAACATGACAAGATATAATATGTACTAGGAACAAGATGAAAATAAAAAGGCTCAATGATAAAACCATGACACACTTACTTTAGGCAATTAAGCGGATGACCATAAAACTTAGGTAGTTTAAATTCCATCGCCTTCTCCCGGTAAAAGGTGCCTAGTTTTCCTATAAATGCAGCTTGATCCTCAGGGGAGCATTCATCATCCTCACCATCAGCCATCTAAAATTAGAAAACAAATGATCATTTTAAAAACAATTGCACACTATATAAAAAATTGGCTTCCAACAATTTCACATAGTTAAAAGTTTAGTACTTTAAAATGAATTATTTTATCCCAAGGACCAAATAACATAGCAAAAAGGACTCCAAAGGTATATTAGAGTATGTACCATTGCAGAAATATTCTCAGATGCTTCCCCACTATGTTGTCCAGCATTTGCAGTTGCAGGATTGATCAGAAACATTGGACTAGCTGGTTCTGGCGCTTTTCCAATAGAAAAATCCGTAACTTCGATGTCACTTTCGGAAACTCGTCCGACCTAGCATCACCATCAGTGGTAACAGTTGTAGCATTTGTCTTTATCTGAGGATCCACTGATCTATCAACCAGCAAATTATTCCCATTCTGATTGACCTCATAGATCATTTTCTCACTCTGATGAACATCATTCACTTCTCCTTCATCAATATTCTGTACTTCATCATCAGTCACCTTCACGTAGCCACTTACCATATCATCCGTTCCAGCATCAATAGTAGGTGTTTTGTTCTCCAGCACCACATTGTCGTGTGCCTCTGGCTGACTCTTAGAGTTGAGCTGGTCCTCTGTCTCACTTCTAGCATTCTTCGAGTCCTCTCCCTTTGAATCACTCTGATCATGTGTCTTGTCCTCATCATTGCTTTTGCTAGTCTTAACACCATTTTCGTACTTGATCGGTGAATCATTGGACACAAGGACATCACTAGCAGGGACATTCGTTTCAACGTCCAGCATCTCTACATCACCCTTATCCATTCTGACAACTAGTCACATACAGCATATCATATGTATCAAATTTCGGCATTATAATACTCATCTCCTCAAGAAAAAGGAAAGGGAAGAAATAACTTTAAAAAAAAATTGATATGCATCACTCATTACACTAGTTAAATGATTATCTACAAATTTCATACCTTTATTTCAAATTCAAGTTGTTTTCACTTTTTTCATATCTAATTTCATTCTATAACTTCATTTCAAAATTCATGAATAACTTAAAATTTAAGTTGTTTTCACTTTTTTCCCTCCAAATCACTCACAAAAACTCAGAAACAACTCCAATTTATATTCACAACCAAACACAACTCCGATTTTCAATTTACCTTCTTTTCAAATTCTCTCAGTTTTCATGGCCAAACTTCCTTACGTATAAAATCTATTAGCTAAACCCTAGTTTCATCAAAACAAAATTCAGGATACAAAAACAAACAGAATAAAAAAATCTTGTTTTTCATCCCCGTATGTTCAACTCTAAACAGAATGAAAACTAAAAAAAGGTCCTCCCGCCGACCAATTCACTGGAAAAAAACATCAAAACTTCATCCACATCTCAAATGTGTTTAGTTTTTACATTTTTTTCAAAAACAGAGCAACATTCAACAGATAAACAACTAATGCCGATGAGTAAAAAAAACTTACAGGAATCCATCAAATTCAGCAACAGGTACGAATCTGCAATCGAAATCGGAGGTTGATGAAGCAAAGTAGCTTAACAAAGAAGGAAACAATCGTGAGCTTAACACTCCAATGGTGGCTTTTGCTTCTTCAAATATTTTTGGCACTAAGTAACTGAAGAATGTGAGTAGGATATGAGTTAATTCTTGTCTTTATGTGAGACTTTTTGAGAAAATGACTAAAATGGTACTTAATTTACTAGTAATGTTTTATTTTGGTCTTTTTAATATATTTTAGGAATAATTTCAATTAAATATAATAAATTAGTAATTACTAGTAAAATTACCCACGCTTTGTGCGGGAATTTAATATCATGGAATTTATAAAATAATAGTTAAAACCTATAAGTCATTAAAACTAAAACACTATATTATCTTACATACAAGATTATGTAGTAACAAACATTAATAATGCAAAGGAAAATGAAAATTATTATATCTTATCATTTATCCTTAATAACATAAACATAAATTAATGACTGTAAAAATACGTGTCAGGATCTGTAATATAAGCAATGGTGTTAGTGAGCCACTCAACAGGAGCAAAGTACACAAATATGTCATTGTGAAGAAGAAAGAAGAAGAAGAAGAAGAGGTTCAGAATTTTCGTTGTTTTAAAATGAGAGGAGATCCCTCTATTTATAGACAACAAAAGGTAGTGTGAACAATATTATGCCTTATCGGAAAGGTTACAACTATTTGAAAAAGTTGCAACCCTTCGGAAAAGGTCACAACCTTTCATAATAGTCACAATATTTCATAAAAGTCGCAACTCTTCATTAAAGTCGCAACTTTTCATAAAAGTCACAACTTTTCATAAATTTCACAACTTTTCATGAAAGGAAAAAGCTAGTTTTGTAAATAAATAAATTAAAAGAGAATTTTGGTTTGTGGTGGCGCCACATAGGCGGGCCTAAGGTTCTCTTTTATATATATATATGATATGATTTTACAATAAATATAGTCATATAATTAAAAAATCATTGAAAGTATACATTGACTATATATATACTAATATGGAGCAGGTTGTTAAAAGTCATATAACGTATCTATACATGAAGATATACTCAAAAAACTAAATATAGTTTCATTATATATGAAGTTTACATAGACTATACATGAAGTATACATTGACTATTCAAACTCGATCAGCTCAAAATCACCAATAAATAGTACCAAAATTTAGATATGAAATCCTCTCGATGTTTTGAGTCTTTTGATATATAATTCATGTTTGTGGTACATCAAATTTTATATTGTTATATACCAAAACTACATGGATTTGTTTGATAAAAATAAGACGTTGGTGCAAATATCATATACCCAAATTCTGAACCTCAAAGAATTTGATGCTCAAGTTTTGATTATATATATTTGTATTCTCCTTAGGACCTTAAATCAGCTATTTGAGCTTTATCGCCATCTTTCTTTGTGAAGCAATAAATACAATATCGCAAAGGACAGCTGAGTACACGAAATATCCCACATTCAGAGAGAGTCGTATAGGCTAACCTACAAAGTGCATTGCTGTCCTTACTAGTTTTCTCTTTCTTTTTTTGGTTTACCACCCAGTGCCCCATTGGAGCTCCAACTAAATCCAAATGGCGTACTGCAGAACCTATTATGGGGTGACGCTCCCAACATGACTTTCTTCATACTAGTTTTTCTCTTTCTTTCCTATTCGTTTTAAACAGTCCATTCCCCATTGATAGATCCAATTGTTTCTCCAGACAGCATTGTTAACAAATATAGGATCTTTTTGGCTTAGATATTGAGACGTAAAACTTTTAAATTCATAGTTCTTGAGAAGAGATGATCTCTGTCAAGGAATAAAGAGGTTGCTCTAACACGAAGAGATTGAGAAGAAAATGATGTTAACAAATGAAGAATTACTTGCAGATTGGCAAATAGGTGATGGAGTAAGGTCACTCTTAGCTTTCTATCCTCCAGAAGCTTCTAACTCAAATGGTATTAGTTTGACATTGGTGATGGATCGATTCATTTGAGCTTTATTAAATTGTTGTGTATATGAACTCGATCATCTGTTGTTTTAGTCAGCATTGTAATCACAAGCCTTGGTGCTGATTTCACCAAGTTGGAATCTTTCGGGAAAGTTGATGCTTTTTCTGAGAATCTGGTGCGGTTTAATCCATCCCAACTTTTATAAAAAACTCTCCGTTCCTTCTTCTTTTAATGCTTCATTTGGCGTTCTTACTTCGGTCCTCAATGATTTTTAACAGGTTAGTGGATTAGACAGAAGCTGGCAAAGACCGCCAGGAGTGAAAGCAAAACTCAGAGATAGCAAAGCTTCTAAAGGTATATAACACAATCTAAAACACTCGCTAAAACTTGCCTTGATGTAATGGTTATTTGAGGTTTGCTTATAAATCGAATAGTGATCTATTCATAAAGCCATGAAATGGAATGCATACTATTGTGCCTACACAATTGGAAAGTGCTATTATGAAATGATTTTCGTTAAGTCAAGAAGAAAAACTCTCATTCCTAGAGTTTAGAACACGTAAACTTAAAATCTTGAATCCGCCTCTGCCATTTAAGAAACTAAGTGAGTTTATCTCACTGAAGTAGTTGTGCCTCTGCTTCAATGTTTAGGAGTTTATACTTGCACATGATGTAAGGACGTTCAATCTTTTGAGCCGTTGATAATTGTCACTCTTATTAATCAGGGTTGTATTACATCGAGTACACTCTCCAAAATCCCGGTGAAAGTCCCAGACATCTATTTCAGTGCTTGGGATAGCAGACAATGGGATTTACAACAGACTGTATACTCTCACTGGACAGGTCAGCTAAACGAAGCAAAAAGACACACATTAAACTTACTTGGCTTGAGGATGATGAAGAGATCGATAGACTATATAATGTGGCGTAGGGTAGGTAATGATTAAAGTAATATATTTTGATGAACTTCGTCTTAGAGTTTTAATAGTTCGGCTAAAATTTAAGTGTTGGGCTTGAGAAATGATAAAGTTAAGTCTTAAGTTAATTAAAATTTAAATAATTATAAATTTTTATATATAATTTCATGGTTTGGTTTGAATTTTTTGCGGTTTTTTTAGCAAAACCAAACCAAATAGTATCGGTTTTCAAAATTTAAAACCAAACCTAACCAAACCACACCAACTATCGGATTTTTTAATCAATTCGGTTCGGATTGCGGTTCAATTTTATTTTTTAACCATAATCATGAACAACCCTAGGTGTGAGTTATAATTAACTTATGAATTTTGGCTGATTTTCACTCTTGGCTTATATGTACTTTTGATTTGACACATACAAATTACATTGTATTAATTATGCGTTATGACAAATTAACAAGTTTATATAATTATAAGATGTATATAGACCACCATAATAATTATGTAATGGTTTAGGTTGGTTATTTTTAGAATTTTAAGTGAAATTATCATTTTACCCCTCCCGATATTGGTCCTGAGTCACTTCTGACTGGATTTTAAAATTGGTTTCGAGTTTTGAGTAAAAAGTTGGGTGTTATGAAAGTTTTTGAGTTTAAAAGGCTAAAGTTGTTAAAAAGTGATCTTCGATTTCTTTCGGAGTTTCAAGTTTCAGAATGAAATTCCGTCAATTTCATCAGTCCAGAAATGTGAAAATTGATCTAAGAGAGTTGTCAATTTCAGACTCGGAGTCTTTTTGTGGATTTGAGGTCCTAAGTTGGAAATTGTTAAGATTTTACCCTTTGAGGTGACTTTGGTCAATATTCGGGGTTGAATGCTTAGATTGAATTTCTAACAGTTCCGTTGGATTCAGGGGTGATTTTAGGCCTAGAAAAGATCCTAGTTGAATTCTCAAAGCCCCGAGATTGATTTGGCCATTTTAGGCGTTATATTTGCCTTTTGTGACTTTCATGGGTTTTGGGTCAAGGAGACATCAGATTCATGTTTCGACGATTCTATTGATTTTAGAACGTCGAGTAACATATTTGGTTGTGTACTCAGGGTTTCGAACGAATCCCCAGGGTCTATTTGAAAATTTATATCTTGTGTGATTTGCTGGTTTCTATTTTCTAGTGCCCGGTATGTTGTTCATCGCGAGCACAAGACCTTTCTCACAATCGCATAGGGTCTGTGTGTTGGTCAACGAGATCGCGTGAGTGCTAGTCGGGATTGTGATGGTTGACTTTAAGGAGTTGACCCTCTTACCCATTGCGATCGTGAGGCCTTGGGTCGCAATCGCAATGAGCAATTTTTGCCAAAGAGAGTGTTTTGCAAAAATCAGGATTTCAACCTTATTTCACCAGTTTTGAATA